TCCTTGACTATAAATCACACACTGGTATCTTTTTTATTTTTACTTATTTATCTATTCCTTGACTATAAATCACACACTGGTATCTTTTTTATTTTTACTTATTTTTTGGGGGGGGGATCCGGTCATGGGGCCTGAACTCTGGGCCTGGGCATTGTCCCTCAGCTCTTCAGCTCAAGGCTAGCACTCTACCACTTGAGCCACAGTACCACTTCCGGCTTTTTTCTTTTTGCTTATGGGGTGCTGAGGAATCGAACCCAGGGCCTCATGCAAGCAAGGCAAGTGCTCTACCACTGAGCCACCTTCCCAGCCCCACTGGTATCTTTTTTAGTTGTGTTTATGCATGGATAGTCACAAGAGGGGAAAAACAAAATGCTTCATGTGAACCTGTTAAGTCTACGGAAATACTTTAAGTCAAGTTAACAAATTCTTCATAGCACTTAGTAGAATAATCCCACAGACAGGCCAACCTTCTAGTTAGTACCTGCATGGACTTATTTATGAAAAATAAACTCAGTGAAACTTAATTTGGGTTTTTAGGTATATGTTTGAAATGACAAGATTAATAAATGGAGTAACAGGTCAAAGGTCTGCAAATGTTCATTCCAGAACTGATTTGTCAAAGCTTTTTACATAAATTATTTCACTACTCCACACCTCCATTTCTTGATCTATAACAGTAGGAATATTCCTATTCACCTAGCCCAAAGTAATGTGCCCCAAGCCAATTAATGAAATGGCAATATCACTCCCTGGGGCTGTTAAACCCAAAGCTTTAGAGAATCAATGCACCTGTCTCCAACCTCAGCACTTACCACATCTTGAAGTTCTGGACCAAGAAAACCAAACTGATTTTTGAGGATTTGAGGAAATGATGCTCTTGAATAGATACTATCACAAAACCCACTGTCTACTTCCCTCTTGTAAAAACAGATCATAACACTTGAATGCTCAATTTTCTATGATTTTTTCTAGCTCTGAGGAATTTGAACTCAGGGCCTTATGCTTACTAAGCTAGCAATTGCAACCTGAGCCATATCTTCAGCATGGCTTTTTGTTGGTCATTTTAGAGATGGATTCTCTGAGACTTTCTATCCCTAGCTGTGTGAAACTCCAAACCCCAGAATCTCAACCTCCTGAGTAGCTAGGATCTGGTTTCAAGAACTTATCTTAATGTCATATTTATATGATTGTACATAATATAGTCTTGGGCATTTAAAGAAATACATATACTGAAAATATAGGCCAACATACATGAAGAGTTTTCAACCCTTGGGTTATATATTTAAGAAAAAAATGGATTCTGAAAAAATCTTTGAGTTTACTTTGTCACAACTTTACAAATATAATTTATAGCATCAAAGAGATGGTGCTTAATTGAGATGAGAGTCTCAGGGACTTTCCTGCCTGAGGTGGCTTCAAACTATGATCCTCAGATCTCAGCCTCCTGGGTAGTTAGAGTTATAGGTGTGAGCCACCAGTGCACAATTTTCATCTAAGCTTCATTTTAGATAAATGAAAAAGACCAGAAGTTTTTTCAAGGTATCAGATTGGAAAATAATTTATTGAGAAATCAATATACCAGACACATTCAAACTATAGACTCTTCTAAATAGAGTTTTTAAAATAATATTGCAAGGCTAGAAAATGGAGCTCTTTAGCACACTAGGGCTCCATTCCCCCACACCACATAAGAATAAATAAATAAATAAAACAAAGTCATTATCAGTCTTCAAAATTACTATTTTTACTATTTTTCTAATGAAAGGAATACTGACTGAGACACCTGGTATACAGTAGTTGTACAATCTACTGAACTGACCATGTCCTATTATTGATGGTAAGGGCCATTGCTGCCTCTATCAGAGAATATTTCCCAAACCTCACAGATTAAAGTCATTTAGTTGTGGATCTACTCCAAATACATAGCTTGAAAGAGACACTTGACAAGAAGTAAAGACAATGACCCATCTTTTCAAAATAATAGTTGATTCAGAGAAAGAAAGAAAGAAAAAAAGAAGGGAGGGAGGGAGGGAGAGGAGGAAGGAAAGAAAGAAAGAGAAAGAAAGAAAGAAAGAAAGAAAGAAAGAAAGAAAGAAAGAAAGAAAGAAAGAAAGAAAGGAAGGAAGGAAGGAAGGAAGGAAGGAAGAAAGGAAGGAAGGAAGGATTTCATATCTGCTTAGGAAATCGACCGAGGACTGTTGCTTCCATCCTAACAAGAAAAACTGAAGTTAAAAATAAAATCATTAAACAGCTTGAGACATAAAGAGTTCTAGTTGCACTGAATTCCAGAGAGGGATGGATCCTTTTTAAGGGAGTAGAAATCCACAGCCACTTCTGTGCACAGAAGGCAAAAGAACAAACCTTCTTGAGATGGTCAGCCCGCGGGTGAGTCGGCATGACAGAGAAGACAGCAAGTCCACACCGCCAACAGATTCCTCACACAGGACCTTCTTCAGGTGCACAGAAGTGTAATAAAAGCTAAGAACAGAGAAAGAAATTCCTTGGTGTGAAAAGCAAGAGGTGGAGCTTGATCAGAGAGAGAATCTCCAGGGGCTTATAAGGCTGACAGTTGGACTGTCTAGAGAGATCTCTAAATCTCACCAGTATTAACTCCCAATGAGAGAGAGAGAGAGAAAGAGAGAGAGAGTGCCCTAAATTGACCCTTGAAATGCTTGAAAGCATGGATATACTGAAGTGAATTAAAGCTGCAACCCCACCTGTATACCCAGCTAAAGTCTGGGTTATACTGTGAAACAGCTCTTTCTCTAACCAGCAGAGGAAATGGGTATGATTTTTTTTCCTGAGGGGGAATATTACCTACTTTAAATTCTACATGTCCTACAAACAGGATAACCAGTATCCAACAGAACTATGAAGAATGGAAACTAAGGGGAAGGTGGGACTTGTTGTCAAGAGATAAAATGAAATCAAACTCAGAGATGATCAAGTGAAATTGCCAAATGGAGATTTTATTATAGCTATTATAAGTATCTTAACACTCTGGGAAATGTTAAAGAAATTAAACAAAATACATGAAAAATTGAGGATTTTAGCCCAAGGTCTCAGAGTTGCATATTCAAAGTCATATTGGAGTACATGCTCTCTCACCTCTGAAATTCTCTATCCTGTTACTGAATCTTTTATGTAATATTTTTCATAAATATGTTCCTCTTAAGGCATCAATATTTATTTTATTTTCCTAGTAAACAGCCACGTCTATAACCCAAAGGTCCAATTATGGTGTTTTAAATATAAAATACTTCAATTAAACAATTAGGGATGATATTCAAGCATATAAAATGCTCAGAACTGAATGACCTTGATTTCACAATATCTTTATAAATTCATTACTTTCAAATAAGTTTATAATTATAACTACTAAATTTATCATTATTTTCATTTATATTCATACTTGTTCCTCAAAGTAATCTTTTTTCTTTAATTTTTTTTTTGGGGTCCGGTCGTGAGGCCTGAACTCTGGACCTAGGCGCTGACCCTCAGCTCTTCAGCTCAAGGTTAGCATTCTACCGCTTGAGTCACAGCGCCACTTCCGGCTTTTTTCTGTTTATGTGGTGCTGAGGAATCGAACCCAGGGCCTCATGCATGCAAGGCAAGCACTCTACCACTGAGCCACCTTCCCAGCCCCCTCAAAGTAATCTTATGAAGTTACATTATTCTAATGAGCATCCTTACTTCCCAAAGTCACATAGCAAGCAAAGGAATAGTTACATAAATCTACTTTTTGTTTTTTATTTTTGTATTTGTTCTGTGCTAATCCTGGGCCTTGAACTCAGGGCCGAGGCTCTGTCCCTAAGTTTTTGTACTCAAGGCTAGCATTCTACCACTTTGAGCCATAGTTCTACCATTTTGAGTATTTCTGGCTCCATTTCTGGCTTTTTGTTAGTTAATTAGAGATAAAAGTCTCAAGAACTTTGCTGCCCAGGCTAGCTTTGATCTTCCATCCTCAGATCTCAGCCTCCTGATCCACTAGTGTTCAACTATCTACTTTTTACTTGATGTTTTGTTTTCTTTTTTGTTTGGGTTTTTTTATTTTAAATTTCATTTTATTGTAAAGTTGCTATACTGAGGGATTATAGTTACATGAGTAAGGTAATGAATACATTGCTTGTCAAACATTGTTACCCACTCCTTTGTTTTTCTCCCACTATCCCTTCCCTCTCCCACTCCTCCCTGCTCCAAGTTGTAAAGTTCATTTCTAACATAGTGTCTTATGAGTACCATTGTTGCACTGGGTCATCCTTTTGTCCTTGTTTCAGCATTTTGTTATTCCCCTTCTCTTCCCCAAATCAGACAAATGTATATACAAAACGTAGGATTAAGTGAAGTAAGCCAGACCCAAAGAAACATAGGCCCCATGGTTTCCCTCATTTGTAATAATGAGTATATGTCTAGGATAGTCCTAGTAGAGGATCGTATAAGCTTAATAGCTATATACATATGACCACATAGAGTGATGCTAATTGAAATGGACTCCAGTACATGGACACCACAGGTCTTTTTGTTGGTGGTTGACGTTGTTGTCCTCAATGTACCGCATCAAGTTCCTTTCTTTTTACTTTATTTTATTTAGCTTTTGCCATTGTTCTATCCCTGGCAATCACTGTCTTTGATGCTGGTACCCTACTTTTTGTTTTTAATCAGTCTTAACTTCCTTCCTCCACCATGTACCAGCATGCTTAGCATAGATCTACTTTCATTTCCCAATCCAGGGATTTTCCTACTTCCTGCTAATAAAACTGGCCATTGGCACAAATAATAGATACATATTTGTACTCATTTAAATAAGATCTTTGTTGAGTTATATGCAAGTGAATAGATAAAATATCCATCTATTTTGGTAGAAGTAGACCACTTTTATTCAAATCTACTCAAATTTCTCTTCCTTGGGCTACTACCTGTTAAATGTTATATGGCCTTATGGGCATCATTTACATACAACACCAATGGAATAACACTTGAAAAATTGAAGCCCCCAAAACTTCCAAAAAGTCTAAATTACAAGTATGTTGGCAAAATCAGGCTAGCTACTGAAATATTTTGTAGGGAATATTTTCCTCAGTATTGTCATGCCAAGAGGATTTTTAAAAATTCCAACCACTCTAACTTCAGGATGAACTTAGTTATATATCTCTAATTATAATGAGCAAGCTGTTTAGAACAGTCCCAGAAGGGTCCAATTAGTTTCTTAGAGCTGATGAAACTGCTCATCTCTACCTGAGGCCCGTACAGGTTCCTGTGTTGTTGTACCCAGTCCAATTGCTAACTCCCAGTAGAAGGGTCAGAGTTCATATGTCTTATCCAGTGTTATTTTGCTGCCATATAATGAATGCTGTAAAAGTCTACAGATTTGCCTTCAACTACTAGCTAAATGCATGCCTCCTTCATTGAAGACAAAACTATTCAAAACAAACTAACAAATACTATGGCTACTCAAAATCTAGAAAGTTAAAGATTTTTATTTGATTTAGAAATTTCCCAAAAGAGATGGTTGCCAGTGGCTCATGCCTATAATCCTAGCTGTTCAGGAGGCTGAGATCTGAGAATCAAGACAGCTCCAGCAAACAAATCCAAGAGACTCTTACCTTCAATCAATTAGCAAAATGCTAGAATTCAAGGCATGGCTCAAGTGGTAGAGCACCAACACTAAGAGCTCAAGTTCCAGAGCTTAAGTCCCATTATCCACAACAAAGAAAAAAATTACCCAAAAGATAAGGTACCCATTATAGGTAATAATTTCCTTAGGAAAGTCTTAACTAGGCTGGGATATAGCTCAGTGTCAAAATGCTTGCCTAACAAGTACTAAAAACACCAGAAAATTCTTAACTGTATGTGTATGCTAATAAACATTCATATTGCTGGAGTTTTTTTTCCCAGCAAATTTTGATCCTTAAATCAATTTTCCAACATGTTAAGCTACTGACATTATGGTTTAATTTCTCTTTATTCTATTCTGATATATCTTGAAAAAGAAAACCATCCTAAGTATTGTAAATATATAATCTTAAGCCTCAAATTTATTAACTACATTCTAAAAATAATTATTTGTCATGTTCACTTTATCTTAAAGGAAAAACCAAACATGACTTGAATGCTTGTTAAGGCATTCATGAGTAAGTCTCTATGGGTTTCCCTAATGCTGGGCTGAAGAAAATTATACAACCCCCACAAAGTTAAAAAATAACTGATTAACCCGAGAGAACTCTCAGAAGTTACGGGAACTGCTACTAACCAAGCATTGGGGGAAGGGAGGAAAATATTTTTAGACTGTTGGGTTTTCTTTTGTCTTCCTTCTTAACTTGCTACACCATACTTACTAATCCACCATTGTCATTTTCTGTTTTGTTCTGTTTTCCCAAATGGGGTTTTGGTTAGAAAGCCAATCTGGGCAGTGGAATGAAAAATTTCCATTAAGAATATAGAGAGTGCTTAACAACGCAAGATGAAAGGAACCACCACCTGCAACTGCAGAAGCAGCCCCTGTAGACCAGTCTCCACCTGCCTATACTTTAGCCTGAGGATTGCTACGGACAAATGTGCCCATGTACATGAGCTACACTCAGCCTTGCATTAACCCAGGAGCACACGCATGGGAAAGGAAGCTACCAGTTTTTAGTCAATGTTAGGTTTGGGGTGTTGGGTTGTTGTTATTGTTGTTTTACCCACAATCCTTTAGCTCCATACTAAGGATTTGGCAAAGAAGAGAGCAGATCAGCATCCTGTTGTCCCTGGGTTCCCCAAGTGACAGTTGAGGGGAATAAAACATCATACACATAACTCATGAGTCCAGGACTGGGCATTAACTTCACTTTTCACTGTGTTCTCTAAGGTGAGTCACTTCACCAAGCTGCATGGTTCTGGGTACCAGTTGTCAGATGTTAGTACTATATTTTGATCATCTTTAAATTCTCTTCAAGTTCTCACATTCCCAAAAATATTGAAGTGTAACCAAAATGCAAGTTATCTTGAACAAAACTAAAAGCTTTTAAAACTGAGTTATTAAAATATGACTTAGCAGAAAGGCACAAAGGAAGGACACAGTTCACCAAGTTTTACTGTTATTCTCTTGGTTTACTCGAGAGATGCATGTCTGGTGATGGTGATGGTTGCAACAATGACACTTTTTAGAAAAGTATATTTCAAAGACTACAAAGATTCATTAATGCCAAATGTTTTCAGATAAAATTACTGAATTAAAAAATATGACTTTGCTAATCTTGAGTACCAAATAATTACCAAGGCAGAGGAAATCTCTATTACTTGAAATAAAACATCATTATGTACCCACAAATGAGATCTTATTTAGGCATCCTCTACTGCCTGTTAAAATATATATATATATATATATATATATATATACACATACATATATGTATATATATGTGTGTTTTATATATAGTATATATATATATTATATAGTATATTTATATATATAGCTGAGATAAGGAAGAAGACAGAGA